TCTGTAGCCAAGGCTGAAATGCAGTGGCACCATCACAGCCCACTGCAGCCTCGACCTCCCTGGGCTCAGGTGATCCTCTCACCTCAGTCTCCAGAGTAGCTGGGACTACAGATACATGCTACCACACCCGGCTAACTTTTTATATTTTTAGTAGAGACAGGGTTTCACCATGTTTTCCAGGCTAGTCTCAGACTCCGAGAATGAGGTGATCTGCCTGCTGCAGCATCCCAAAGTGCTGGGATTACAGGCGTGAGCCACTGGGCCCTTCCGTGATTTCTTTAATAATAAAGATTTTTCAGTGGGGATGAACAATCTTGAAGAAGAACAAAGCTGAAGGACATCTTCTACCAGATTTAAAGATTTACGATAAAACTAAAACAATTAAAGTGTGATACTGGCCTGTAATCCCAGAACTTTGGGAGGCTGAGGCGGGTAGATCACTTGAGTCCAGGAGTTCAAGACCAGCCTGACCAACATGGTGAAACTCTGTCTCCATTAAAAATACGAAAAAAAAAAAAAAGGCTGGGCACGGTGGCTTACGCCTGTAATCCCAGCATTTTGGGAGGCTGAGGCAGTTGGATCACCTAAGATTACAAGTTCAAGACCAGCCTGGCCAATATAAAACCCCATCTCTACTAAAAATACAAAAATTAGCCAGGCATGGTGACATGCACCATTCCAGTTACTCAGGAGCCTGAGGCAGTAGAATTTCTTGAATCCAGGAGGCAAAGGTTGCAGTGAGCCAAGACTGTGCTTCCAACCTGGGTGACAAAGTAAGACTCTGTTTCAAAAAAGAAAAAAGAAAAAAGGAGAAAGTGTCATATTGGTGTAAGGAAATAATACGGTCTTGAAATAACCCACAAATACATGATGGTATAAGTTGAATTGTGGCCTCAAAATTCATATGTGCAAATCCCAATCCCTGTACCTCAGAATGTGGCCTTACTTGGAAACAGTCACTGCAGAAGTAATGAGTTGAGAGGGGTCACACTGGAGTAGGATGGGCCCTTCATCCAATATGGCTGGTGCCCTTATAAAAGGGGGATATAGGGATACAGATAGGCATGCAGGAAAAGTGCGCGGGAAGATAAAACAGAGATCAGGGTAATAGAAAAGAAAACCCCACCACCCAGTCTGTGGTACTATGTTACTGGAGCTGTTAAACTAATATATAAGGTTACTTGATCTTCTACCAAGGGACAGAAGCAATTCAACGGAGAAAGTAAAGTCTTCCCAACAAGTAAGACTGGAACAACTGGACGTCCATACAAAAACAACCTTGCAGGCCAGGAATGTGGCTCATGCCTGTAATCTCAGCACTTTGGGAGGCTGAGGTGGGAGGATCACCTGAGATTACAGGAGTTCGAGACCAGCCTGACCAACACGGCAAAACTCCGTCTCTACTAAAAATACAAAATTAGCCATGCATGATGGGGCATGCCTGTAATCTCAGATACTCGGGAGGCTGCAGCAGAGAATCGCTTGAACCCAGGAGGTGGAGGCTGCAGTGAGCTGAGATTGTGCCCCTGCACTCCAGCCTGGGCAACAAGAGTGAACTCTGTCTCAAAAAATAACAATAATTAATTTTAAAAAACCTTGCCTCCTACATTTCACCAACACTCAAAATTAGTAAAAGATAAATTATAGACATAAATTTGCAAGCTCAAGCATTAAAGCATCTAAAAGAAAATACAGAAGAATATCTTCATGACTTCTGGCAGCCAAAGCTTTCTTAGACATAAAGGTACTAATCATAAAAACATAGACTTATGTCTCTATGTATCCAATAAAGAACACTACAAAATAATAAAATGACAAACAATCCAGTTGTTAAATGGAAAACAGCTGGGCATGGTAGTATACTCCTGTAACCCAGGCTACTCCGGAGGCCAGGGCAGAAGGATCGCTTGAGCCCAGGAGGCTGAGGCTGCAGTAAGTTATGATCACAGCACTGACCTCTGGCCTGGGTAACAGTGAGACCCTGTCTCTATCAGTCAATCAAAATGGGCAAAAGAACTGAACAGGGGCCAGGTGTGCAGCTCACACGTTTAATCCCAGGGCTTTTGGAGGCCAAGGTGGGTGGATCACAAGCTCAAGAGATTGAGACCATCCATTGCTTGAGCCCAGGAGTTCAAGGCTGCAGTGAGCTGTGATTGCACCACTGCACTCCAGCCTTGGCGACAGAATGAGACCTTATCTCAAAACAAAAAAAGTGACACAGATGTACGCATGCTGACGTTAAAAGTCCTCTAAGATATACTAGCAAGTGAAAAAAGTATGTTTTGAACTATATCATTTGGTTAAGAAAAAAATTATTCCCTTACGTACATGAATTTCTATGTATGTAAATGCACAGAGAAAGAACTTCAAGGAAAATAATGAAATATAGGGGAAAACAAAGTGAATTCTGAAAATCATAAACGTAATTGATGAATTAACAAAGGAAAACTGAGCTTGGTTAATCCCATAAAATGCTGAACTTCTGAATGGAAAAACGCACCTCTAACAAGAGCATTGGCACTAAGAATTCCATAAGAATTCCACTTCAGATGCCAGCCCTGTCAGGTAAATGGGGGAGAAGAGCATCTGTCTCAAGGGTGACTTCTACCACCAGAGGATGAGTGCATGCTGCTGATGCAGACGCTTTACTTTCGGTGGGGCTGCCACACCCTCTGCTCCTGAGGCTCCCTTCCCCAAGGACCCCTAACCAGAGCAGCCCCTCTCTGTGTGAAAGCTGCAGGGGCCCTCTCAGCCCCTCTACAGGGAGCAGGTGCCCCCTCCCCGCCCCTACAGAGAGCAGGTTCTCCCCTCCTAGCATTTCCATAGAGAGCAGGTGCCCCCACACCGCACCTACAAAGAGTGGATGCTCCTCTCTCCCGCCCCTACAGAGAGCCTACTACCCTCCTAGCCTTTCTACAGAGAGCAAGTGACCCCCACATAGCCTTTCCATAGAGAGCAGGCACTCCCTCTCTGCCCCTACAGAGAGTGGACACTCCCGTCCCTGCCCCTCCAAAGAGAGCCTGCACTTCCCTCCCAACACCTCCAGAGCAGGCGCTCCCCTCCCCTCCCCACCCCTCCAGAGTGGGTGCTCCCCTCCCCACCCCTCCACAGAGAGCCTGCACTTCCCTCCCCACCCCTCCACAGAGAACCTGCACTTCCCTCCCCCGCCTCTCCAGAGCGGGCGCTCCCCTCCCCACCCCTCCACAGAGAGCCTGCACTTCCCTCCCCACCCCTCCACAGAGAGCCTGCACTTCCCTCCCCGCCCCTCCACAGAGAGCCTGCACTTCCCTCCCCGCCCCTCCACAGAGTGGGTGCTCCCCTCCCTGCCCCTCCACAGAAAGCCTGCACTTCCCTCCCCTCCCAGCCTCTATCCAGCCCACCACAGCACTACCCTGGGCTCTTAAGTCTGGGCAGGCCCAAAGCAGCAGCACCTCAGGCTGCTTCCAGTGGGGCAGGGGCCTCTGAGGGTGTCCTGCAGTGCCTGTGCCTGACTCCTAGCCTGGTGACATTTCACACTGTGGCCCTGTCTGCCCGTCCTCCCTTGGCCCTCCTGCTTTCTCAAGCTGCTCCTACATGTCCCAGAACTCTATGTGCCTCCCTCAGTGGCAGCTGTTTGCAACCCAGCACCTGACTGATAGTGAACCTCACAGGACAGGGGGCAGGGTGCCGCTTCTGAATAGGGCAGACAAAATATTTTAGGCTTTGTGGGTCACGTGCGGTCCCTCTGTTTGCTTTTATAACCCATTAAAGCTCCCTAGCTCACAGACTGAGCAGGGCTGGCGGGCCACGGCCACTGCGCACTGACCTGCGGAAGAGCCACGCTGGAAAGCACAAGCTTACCTGTGAAAAATGGTATGTTTTTCAGGCTTGTTACTAATCACTTCAGTTAGCCTTAAGGCCAGGCACAGTGGCTCACACCTGTAATCCCAGCACTTGGGGAGGCCAAGGCGGGCGGATCACAAGGTCAGGAGATCTAGGCCATCCTGGCCAACATGGTGAAATCTCGTATCTACTAAAAAAATACAAAAATTAGCTGGGCGCGGTGGTACACACCTGTAGTCCCAGCTACTCGGGAGGCTGAGGCAGAAGAGTCGCTTGAACCTCGGAGGCGGAGGTTGCAAGTGAGCCAAGATCACACCACTGCACTCCAACCTGGTGACAGAGTGAGACTCTGCCTCAAAAAAAAAATAAATAAATAAATAAAGACTTAAAACAAGGAAATGTGAAGTTTCTGGTCTAATTGTGAAGACCCCAACACACATATGTACAAAACAACTGGCCTCCTTATCTCTTAAAAAGGGCTGGGCACGGTGGTTCACTGTAATCCCAGCACTTTGGGAGGCAAAGGCAGGCAGATCACAAAGTCAGGAGTTCAAGACCAGCCTGGCCAATATGGTGAAACCCCATCTCTACTAAAAATACAAAAATTAGCCAAGTGTGGTGGCGCATGCCTGTAGTCCCAGCTACTGGAGAGGTGAGGCAGGAGAATTGCTTGAACCCGGGAGACGGAGGTTACAGTGAGCCAAGATCATGCCTTTGCATTCCAACCTGGGCGACAGAGTGAGACTCCATCCCAAAAAAAACCAACCAAACAAACGGTGAAAAGCCTCTTCTCAGGCAAAGAAGTCTAAGAGACAAGCAAACTAAACCAAAGTATGTCTTGGAATTGATCCCAGAATGAGCTAGAGCAGCTGGGGAACGGCTGTCTGAGGCTCTGGGAGCCCTCAGAGGCACAGTCACGTGGGGAGTGTGGCCACACATGGTGTCTGCAGCCAGCTGTCAAAGCAAGCGTGAACCACCACCATCTGGTGAAGGATAGACAGGTAACATTCTTACAACTTTTCAAAAAGTTTGGAATTTTACAAAATAGAAAGTAGGGAAATCTTTCTAGAGAATTCAAAGCAGGATGGTACTGTCACCTAGAGAAACAACATCTGCCAGGACCTGCTCCACCCTGGACATGGCCGGGGTGGTGGCCAGGCTAGCGTGGAGGCACTCACCAGCCGAATTGATGACATGTCTGACCACCTGCAGGGTGCCCACGCGGGTCCTCTCATTGCTAGAGTCCAGCCTGGGAAGCAGGAAGGCCAGTAGGCGGTCAGGCGAGCTGCAGGCTACAGAGCAACAGGTACAGGTTAGGCTCAATGTCATCTTGTTCATCCCTATACACAGCATCCTCCTACTTCCCAGCACAGACGAGGAGCCAGGAGAGTCACTGTGTGAAGGTGAGAAGCTGGGGCCACCTAATCACTGGGCTCTGATGTCCTTGTCTAAGGCAGGGTTGGAGCACATGGCCCCTACCCTACAGCATCAGCACCACCCAGAGCATGCAGGGACTCAAATCTTGGCCCACCCAGCACACAGGTGCTTGTTTCAGCTTCTCCAACTCAGAGGGGGGCCCATAAGAGGGCCCTCAATGGCCCCTCCTGAGTCTCCTGGCTCCAGGCCCATCTAAGGCTCAAGGGGACTCGACTGTCAAGAACACAGACCACCAGCCCAAGCAGGGCTAATGCAGCCCTAACTCCAGGAGCTCTCTGGCAATGACTGCGGCAGCTCCCTTACCCACTTACCAGGCTTCACTACAGCTGCTGCCCAGTGCCATCCCCATTCCAGGTGGGCTCTGGAGGCCTGCTCTGCCTGGGCATCAGACCTGTGGTCCCTCCGCCCACCACAAGCCTGCCCCCAGCCTGTCTGCGTCAGTCTCCCCACATCCCTCCTGCGGGACTTGTGTAAGGGCAGATGCTCATGCAGGTAGGGGGCCCCCGCCTGCCCAGCCAGCTCCAAGGAGATGCTGACACTGTGGCCCCAGCAAGGTGACAGCCCTGAGTACAAGCAGGATCCCTCCTCACACCATCTCCTGCCCCTCCAGGTTGGCTGTGAGGGCCTGGCAGGGCACGGGGACAGCATCAAGTTGGGGGTGACAGGAGGTATAGCACCTCCAGGTGGGTCATGGGAGGCTGGGCAGGCAATGAGGGCCAGCAGCCACACGCCACCTGGGGGAGCAGAGAGCAGGCCATGGAGCCAGAGATGGGGTGCGGAGGAACAGGTGGGTGGGGGGCAGGTAGGAAATGCCTGGACAAGACCGTGACTGGAGGCCCCCAAGGATCTGGGCAGGGCAGCAGCACTCTACTCTGAGGAGAACAATGTTCCAGGCTGCAACCACTCCCCAGGCCCTGGTCCAGAGGACCCTGGAGACACAGGCAGACCCAGAAGAGGTGGAAACAGAGGCCTCCGCATCCCCAACCAATACCCCAGCCACTGCCACCCTCCACACGCAGCAGGCGGTGACCCCACAAGTGTCCGCAGATGCCAGTGGGCAAGGCTGGGCCTCCCACTCACCCAGCACAGTGAAGCAGCGCAGCACCTCCTTCTGGTTGCTCATCACCAGGGGGCTTGAGGACTCCACAGGCACACAGATCTGCTCCAGGAACAGGGGCACAGGTTATAGACCCAGAGAGGCCAGAAGAAAGCATCCTGCTCTCTGATGAATCTGGGTCTGGGCAGCTGGGCAGAGGGTTTCAGGTTCCCACCCCATGCCTACAGCAGGCAGCAGGAGCTCCAGGCTCTTCCTCATCCAGGCCCTGGGTGCAGGACAGTCTCACCCTCTGTACTCAGAGGCGCTCCAGGACCAGCCCCATTTCCTTACAGTGGGAAAGAGGAGGGAGACAGACAGCAACAGGCAGACACACAGCTGCTGTCAAGTCTTCAGGGACACATCCTGCTCCACCACCCTCCACCCTTCCTATCAGCGGCAGGAGAACAGATTCCCAAGAGACATGTTTTACTAGAGAGGAGTGCCTCCCATGGGGCGTGACGCCTGGAACCCAGGCTGGAAAGCATAAAGCACTGGAACCCAAAACTTCTGGAGTCCACTTGTTTAAAGTCATAAGGAAAAAAATACTTGAATTGGTAAAAAGCAAAAACAGGCTGTTGGCTGGGCATGGTGGTGCATGCTTGTTGTCTCAGCTACTCAGGAGGCTGAAGTGGGAGGACTGCTTAAGCCCAAAAGGTTGAGGCTGCAGTGAGCTCTGATGGCGCTACTGCACTCCAGCCTGGTGACAGAGCGAGACCCTGTCTCACTTTTCTTTTCTGAGACGGAGTTTCGCTCTTGTTACCCAGGCTGGAGTGCAATGGCGCGATCTTAGCTCACCGCAACCTCCGCCTCCTGGGTTCAGGCAATTCTCCTGCCTCAGCCTCCTGAGTAGCTGGGATTACAGGCATGCGCTGCCATGCTAATGTTTTGTATTTTTAGTAGAGACGGGGTTTCACCATGTTGACTGGGATGGTCTCGATCTCTTGACCTCGTGATCCACCCGCCTCGGCCTCCCAAAGTGCTGGGATTACAGGCGTGAGCCACTGCGCCCGGCCTTCTTTTTTTTTTTTGCATTGCCATAAAGACACGTCCAAGAGACCCTGTCTCAAATAAAGAAACAAACAACAATAAAAACCTAAGGACGTTGGCAGAGGCCTCTCTGGGCTCCACGGTACCTTAACAGTGATGCCAAAGCACCCCCCACTAACCCAGGTGTGACATCCTCCATCCCTACTCGCAGGTCAGCAGAGGGCGCTGACAGGGTCTCTGAACAAAGGGCTCCAAAGCAATTCTTCAGCACAGCCCTCTTATGAGGCAGAGAGGTAACCACAGCAAAGGCCCCAGGACCACAGGGCCACAGCCCAACCTGGGTTCTTAGAAAACTGTTAGGAAGCATAGTGAGGTGGGGGATTTAGCCCCAAGGCTCGGCTCTAGGTTCCCTGCTACCTGCTTGTTATTTCTACTATAAAGATGAAGTATGATCATAAGAGATGCTGCAGCTTCCTGCCCGCTCTTTCAGATCACCTGCCCTGCAGGAAGCAGCCACCATGGTGTGAGGACACTTAATAGGTCTTACAGAGAGATCCATATGGTGAGGAACTAGGGCCTTCAGCCAACAGCCATGCGAATGAACAGCCTTAGAAGCAGATCCTCCAGCCCCAGTCAAACCTTAGATGGCACAGCCCAGACCGACAGCATGAATGGCTGTAAACTAACAAGGGACCCTAAGCTGGAGCGACCCTCTGAGCTGCTCTCACTTTCTGGACCCACTGTGAGATAATAGCTGTTGTTGTTTTAAGGTGGTAAGTTTTGTGGTAATTGGTTACACTGCAATACATAACTAATGCATATGGGTATTCATATGGAAAAAAGATACAGTTGGATTCTCATTCCTTACCTAAAATAAATCCCAGATGGATTCAATAATAAAAGCGTAGGGGGCCAGGTGCAGAGTCTCACACCTGTAATCCCAGCACTTTGGGAGGCCGAGGCGGGTGGATCACTTGAGGTCAGGAGTTCGAGACCAGCCTGGCCAACATGGTGAAACCCCATCTCTACTAAAAATACAAAAATTAGCCGGGCATTGTAGCAGCTACTTGGGAGGCTGAGGCAGGAGAATGACTTGAACCTGGGAGGTGGAGGTTGCAGTGAGCCAAGATTGCAGCACTATACTCCAGCCTGGGCAACAGACTCTGTCTCAAAATAATAATAATACCAATAATAATAGTGGAAGGGAAATTGGGAGAATTCAGAAAACAACAATCACTGATTTTTTTTTCTTTTTTTTTTTGAGACAGTCTTACTCTGTTGCCAGGACTGGAGCACAGTGACACGATCTTGGCTTACTGCAACCTCTGCCTACTGGGTTCAAGTGATTCTCCTGCCTCAGCCTCCCAAGTAGCTGGGATTACAGGTTTGAGCCACCACGCCCAGCTGCTAATCACTGATTTCGAAATGCTTTTCTATGTATAACAAAACCTGAACTATAACATAAAAGATGGATAAATGATAATGTAAAAATTAAACAACTTTGTACGGCTAAAAAATATCATAAACAGAGTTTAAAGATAAACGACAAAGTAGCATGTGTGTGTGGTCCTGGTTACTGGGGTCTAGGGAGGGGTTGAGGACGGAGGATCACCTGAGTCTAGGAGGCCAAGACTGCAGTGAGCTGTTATCGCCACTGTACTCCAGCCTGGGTGAGTAAGCGAGACCCTGTCTCAAGAATGAATGAATGAATCAATGACAAAGTAGGAGCAAATATTTTCACACACACCTGTAATCTCTATACTTTGGGAGGCTGACACAAGAGGATCACCTGAAGCCAGGAGTTGGAGACCAGCCTGGGTAACAGAGTAAGACCCTGTCTCAACAAAGAAACAGTCTCACTATGTTGCCCAGGCTGGAGTGCAATGGCACAATCTTGGCTCACTGCAACCTCTGCCTCCTGGGTTCAAGTGGTTCTCCAGCCTCAACCTCCCAAGTAGCTGGGATTACAAGCACATACCACCACGCCTGGCTAATATTTTTTGTAGTTTTTAGTAGAGATGGGGTTTTGCCATGTTGGCCAGGCTGCTCTCGAACTCCTGACCTCAGATGATCTACCCTCCCCCCTCAGCCTCCCAAAGTGCTGGGATTACAGGTGTGAGCCACTGCACCCAGCCTAGACTCTGTTTCTACAAAAAATTAAAAACAAAAAAAGCCAGGCATGGTGGCGTGCACCTGTAGTCACAGCTACTCTGGAGGCTGAGGTAGGAGGATTGCATAAGCCTAGGTGTTGGAAGCTGCAGTGAGCTATGATCACATCCCTGTACTCCAGCCTGCAGGACAGAGCAAGACCCTGTTGCTAAAAAAATTAAATAAGTAACTGTTACAGATCAATATGAACAAAACCTAAAATGCAATGGAAAAAAGAAATGAATGAATAGCTCAAGAATAGGAAATAACACATTTTTCTATCTTCTCAGCTTTTGTATATTCATATTTCCTTTTTAATCCATTCTCTACTCCCATGCCCACCGCATGTAGATAATCACTTTTTGTTTTCATATTTTTTGCAAATCTGTATTGTTTTGATCATCTTCAGACTGTGTAAATGATATTATGCTACATCTCTCTTTTTCACTACTGTTTTTAGAATTGTAAGCCTTTTCTCCACAGAGCTCTTGTACATTCTTCATTAATTCATATACATAATAGGTTCCTTTTATTTTTCTTTTTAAAAAAAGACAGGGTCTTGCTCTGTTGCCCAGACTGGAATGCACTGGCATGATCACAGCTCACTGCAGCCTCAACCTCCTGGGCTCAAACAATCCTCCCAACTTAGCCTCTGGAGTAGCTGGAACCACAGGCAGGCACCATGACACCTAGCTGTTAATAAGTTTCTGTTGTTGGCCGGGCGAGGTGGGTCACACCTTTAATCCCAGCACTTTGGGAGGCCGAGGCAGGTGGATCACCTGAGATCAGGAGTTCAAGACCAGCCTGGACAACATTTTAGTCTCTACTAAAAATACGAAAATTAGCCAGGTGCAGTGGCACGTGCCTGTAACCCCAGCTACTAGGGAGGCTGAGAAAGGAGAATTGCTCGAACCCGGGAGGCAGAGGTTGCAGTGAGCTGAGATCGCGCCATTGCACTCCAGCCTGGGCAACAAAAGCAAAACTCTGTCTCAAAAAAAAAAAAAAGAATATTATTTCTGTTGCTTTATTGGGTTTAAGTTCTCTACTGCTTTTCCTACCAATCTTGGCATTTGTATCTTTCTAGGAACCTAACCATTTCATCCAGTTGTAAAAGTTGTTACCACGTGACTGTTCACAGTGCTCACATTATGTTTACTAGCTCTGTGGCTGCCGTGCCTCTTCCCCTTTGTTTCTGGGATGCAGCCAGGACCATCCAGGTGGTAGAGGGTGGGGCCCAGCTGGAGTGGGCCAGGTGAGGGGCAGGGCGGCAAACCCACACCTCCACACTTCTCAGACAGTCTCCTTGCAGATTTCACCACACCAGCATCTCTAGCTTTCTGGCCCTCTCCTCTGTCATCCAGAAAGTCCCATGGGCAAACAAGCCCCAGTGCCAGGGCCATGGGTGACCTGGCACCTTTGTCCCTCAATCGTTCTCAGATCTCATTCACCCAGCCTGGAGAGGGGACCCCACTGCTCAGCCTCCTCCCAGATCGCTTCCTCTCCAGCAGGGCCTTCAAGACCCCCCTGCCATCCCCCTGCAGCCCAGGGCCTCTCCTCTGCTCCTCTGAGCTCAGTCCCCAGAAACCCCGGGCAGTCTCAGGCCTCCCCCAACTGGTGCTTCAGCTGTGCTGACCTTTCTCCCAGAACTCCTGTACTGGGCCTGCACTGGGCCTGAGCACCTACTCCTGCCACCTTCACACCGGGGACTCCTATATCACCTGCACTGCCACTGCTGGGCAGGGCAAGAGCATGGCGACATCGCTAAGAAGTCACCCAGGTGAATCTCAGGGAATACCCACTCCTTAGCCCCACAGCTCCTTAGCTGAGCTGTCCACCCGAATTACTTTCTGCACCCCTCATCTGTCAACTTTACACTGAAAGTCTATGGCACCAGGACCCGCCCCACCCATGGCCCGCCTCCTACCTGGGAGTGCAGTGCGGCCAGGAGGGCATCCAGCTGGGTGTCCAGTGTGCGGCTGCCCACACTCACAGCTGCCTCGAGGATCTGGCCCAGGCTCTGCTCGGGGTAGGGAGAAGAGGCCACCAGTCCTACCTCCAGCCCCCTGAACGGACTGTGAGGTCAACCAGAGCCTCACAGTTGGGCCACAGGAAGACATGGGCCAGGAGTACATGGGCCCCATCTTGGGGATCAAATGAGGAGGCCCTTCATCTACCTCTAGAACTCAGAGCTGGGGAGGAGGGCGGTGAGGGCCCAGGAAAGGGGATCCCTAGGCCACAGGTGCCATGGACCAAGAGGTTCCTGGCACCATACAGGACAGAGCAATGGGAAAACTCTAAGCTGGTCCCCGCAAGGGCTCTGTCCTTCATAGCCCACCATTGAGCCCTAGCAGAGGACTCAGGGCCACCCCCGTGGCGTCTGATTGGAGGGGTCCTTGACTAGGCAGGTGGACCTGCCTTGACTGCAGATACCTTGGACACGTAGAAGGTCTCTGAGTGCTTCTTGTAGAGGGCGAGGATCCCAGGGAGGAGCTTGGGCAGCTGCTCTTCCAGCCTCTCACTGGGCAGCAGATGGCTCATAGGCCCCAGAGCCTCCACCACGGCGAGTCGGAGCTGAGAGGGGACAGTGGGCAGGAAGCTCACGCTGCTCAGTCAACACCAACTGCTCAGAGCACGTCCAGCAACCACACGGGACGGAGGTGGGCAAACACCAGGATATCAGTGGGTGCTACAGGGGCTGGGAAGTAAGCCAGAACCCAGCAGACAGTTGTGGGGTTACCAAGGCAAGCTAGATGGTGGCCAGGCCAATAGGGTTTGTAGGAGATGCTCAGTGTCCCGCCAGCAGCACTGGGTCTCCGGGCAGAGGGAAAACCCATAGTGACTGGGCCCCTCTGGCACCCATCACAAGTATGAGACCTGTATGTAGGCGGGGTCCTGAGTAGGTATGTCGGCCTAAAGGTAGCCAGGCACAGTGGCTCACACCTGTAATCCCAGAGCTTTGGGAGGCTGAGGCGGGTGGATCACCTGAGGTCAGAAGGGCGAGACCAACCTGGCCAAAATGGCAAAACCTCATCTCTACTAAAAACACAAAAATTAGCCAGGTATGGTGGTGGGCACCTGTAATCCTAGCTACTCAGGAGAATGAGGCATGAGAATCACTTGAACCCAGGAGGCGGAGTCTGCAGTGAGCCAAGATCATGCCACTGCACTCCAGCCTAGGTGACAGTGAGACTCTGTCTCTAAATAAATAAATAAATAAATAAAAATAAAGGTGAGCCACTTTCACTCTCCAATCCACCACCGCCCTCTGATCAATTTGCCATGGGCAGGGAACGTGGGGAGGAAAGCGCCCTGGCATCAGGTGTAGACTGAGGCAGCCGTGGGGCATACCTTGGCTTCTCTACTCTGCAGCCAATGGTAGAAGAGAACGTCGTAGGCGCTGAAGATGTCGGTGGCGAAGGCATCCTTCCTGACCGTGGGGTCTGGGGCTCGGTCCAGGTTAGCCAGGTACTCCAGGGCACCCTCGCTGAAGCGCTGCAGAGCTACCACACCGGCCAGTGGTGAGTGGCTGCAGGCGGTGGGCTCGTGATGATTCCCAACACCTACGTCTGCAGCCTGCCCCTTCCAGAAATCCCATGGCGGCCTGCAAGATGCCCTCCCTAGTACACCAGCCAAGCACAGAACTCCAGGACTATACAGAGGTGAAAGGTGTCCCTCCAAATTCATGGACTTATTGGAAATAGGGTCTTTGCAGATGTGACTTTTTTTTTTTTTTTTTTGGAGACAGAGTCTCAATCTGCCACCCAGGCTGGAGTGCAGTGGCTTGATCTCAGCTGACTGCAACCTTTGCCTCCAGGGTTCAAGAGATTTTTCTGCCTCAGCCTCCCAACTAGCCGGGACTACAGGTACATACCACCATGCCTGGCTAATTTTATATTTTTAGTAGACACAGGGTGTCACCATGTTGGCCAGGCTGGTCTCAAACTGCTGACCTCAAGTGATCTGCCCACCTTGGCCTCCCGAAGTGCTGGCATTAGGCGTGAGCCACAGCGCCCCGCCAGATGTGACTGTTAAAATGAGGTCATAGCAAAGTAGGGTGGGCCATAACTCCAACATGACAGCATCCTTACAAGAAGAGACACAGGCCGGGCGTGGTGGCTCACGCCTGTAATCCCATCACCTTGGGAGGCCAAGGCAGGTGGATCATGAGGTCAGAAGATCGAGACCATCCTGGCCAACAAGGTAAAACCCTGTCTTATATTAAAAAAAAAAAAAAAAAAAAAAATTATTGGGAAAAAAAAAAAAAGAGACGCAGAGGCAGGGGGAAGATGGCCATGTGACATGGAGGCACAGATGGGCGAGGCAGCCTCAGGCCAAGGACGCCCAGAATCCATGGCCCCACCAGAAGCTGGGGATGCCTGAAATGATCTCTCTGGGTCCCCAAGAAGGAACCAAACCTGCCAACATCTTGAGCTCAGACTTCCGGCCTCCTAAACTGTGAGAAAACACATTTCTGTTGTTTGAAGCCACCCAATTTGCACTTGGTGCTCTGTCACCAAAGTAAACTGCTGCAAGTACCAGCCTCCTCCCAAAAATGCCCTCTGGCCACAGGTTCCCGCCAACTCCAGTCTGCCAGAGACTAGAGGAGCAGCACCACGCCCACCCACCCTCACAGACAGGCTTGTGAAACACATTCTGCCAAAGGCTGCCATGGCGGGCACAGTGCGAGCAGGAAGAGCCACAGCGAGAACAATGGCCAGGGCGGAGGGGCACCAGGACACCAGGGTTAGCATGAGGCCCTCCCACAGGTGGGCAGCTCCTGATAGCGCACTGATGCCTATGGATGAGACCTGTGGACGTGACTCAGCTATGGCCTTGGGCCAACTATGCGGGCAGAGCTTGGAGCAGGCAGAGGCCTGGGCAGGTGGCCGCCTGGGCTTCGAGTGGCATGGACATATGGGTGGAGAGTCAAAAAACACTGGCTATGGGGCCTGGAGCCCAGGACATGGGCCTAACTTAGGTGCAGATGTGTGAGTGGTCAGTGGGCCTGGGCCCTAGGTGAAGGGGAAACATGGGGGGACCGGGGGAGAAAACTGAGGCCAGCACCTACAGCCCTGCTAAGGACCAGGTGGAGAGGCAGAAACTGGGGAGGAAACACAAAGGGACCCTCAGCTCCAGGGCAAAGTCCAGAGGTCCTGAGAGGACACGCCCACCACACGGGGAGGGGGCTACACAAGGCATAAGACCAAGGGGTGCTGCTGGGACCACCTCGGCTGCCCCAATCTCAAGTTCTTCTGATGGGCCCACTCTCTCCAGGGTGGCCGCTCACTGCCATTCCCAGCAGCGCTGCTGCAGGCCCTGCTCCAGTGTACAATCTTATCTTGGTATTTTCAGACATTTACTTTTAATTTTCTCCAAACTGCTTAATGTGAGATACTTCTTTGAAACTAGTGGGCTGGGCCGGGCGCGGTGGCTCAAGCCTGTAATCCCAGCACTTTGGGAGGCCGAGGCGGGTGGATCACGAGGTCAAGAGATCGAGACCATCCTGGTCAACATGGTGAAACCCCGTCTCTACTAAAAATACAAAAAATTAGCTGGGCATGGTGGTGCGTGCCTGTAATCCCAGCTACTCAGGAGGCTGAGGCAGGAGAATTGCTTGAACCCAGGAGGCGGAGGTTGCGGG